TTAAGTTGATTTTTTTTTTTACTAACCGTCTCACCATCTGGCGTTTAGGGCAGCAACAAAGGATCTCCAGATCTGTATGTTTTGGGGCATCTTGGTCAACGTCCCGCAACGAATGGTTCCAGGACTTCATTTCAGACTCTGCTGTGCGTCTCCAGGTCACTTTGGGTCTGCCCTTCGTGCGATGTCCTTCGTGTGTCCAGTGGAGGACAATCTTTGTTTAGGCTAAGCGAGGTGTTTTTTTAATGTATTTTTTTAGGGTAGGCGGTTTTACGCCCCCAACGACACAATTTATACAATGTAGGACACAGGCTTCGACCCTGCCAGTTAGAGTTAACCCAGGCTTATATTATAGGGCAATGTCTCTGCAGGAAGACCGAGACACTCAATAAAAATTCTCCTTACCCAAGAATCGAACTCGGGTCTCTGCTAGTCAGGATGGGTTTAGAGAGAAAAACGAACCATGCTTTTTTTCAAATATAGAAATTTCACCTATTTAAGTGCAATTTATATTTTTACGAGCAATGAATGTATTATGATCTAGAAGAGAGCGTGCTATCAAAAGAAAGGTTGGGCGGGCGGCAGCCAATACAACGGATTTAGGGAAAATATTCTAGAAGTGACGTAACAGATTTGGACCCTAATCCGGAACGAAGCTGGGACGATCTCAAGTATTGACTAAATTCCGAATCAGCTGCTAAGTGAACAGGCGTGTTCTAGTACCCTTGCATAATGCATCATGTTACCGCCTATGGTAAGCCCGTAACGAGACCGACAGAACACATAATTTAACTCACCACCTCATTTATTCATTCTTTTTTTCTCCAAATTTCAATTTGTTGTTCGTTCCCGGAGAATACTCATAACTCAGTGGGATGTAATGAGAGTGTGGGTCAAAGTGTGCAGCTGGAGGGAGCTCAAGGGGGTCTGCTTCTTCTACATAATTTGCACTTCTATGAAAGAGTTATAGTTCGTTAAATGCGTCATCGACATAATTGAGAACATTTAGAAAGCAGGCGGATTTTACCTTGTCCGTTAGCGTAAGGGTGAACCCCGGGCTGACAGGGAGAGAATAAAACAGCTTACAGAAAACATAGGTATCAATAATTACGCAAATAACAATAATGATAATAATAATAGTACTACAACAACAACATCATCAACAACAACGACAACAACAACAACAACAACAACAACTACTACTACTACTACTACTACTACTACTACTACTACTACTA